CAATGCAATGCAATGCAATGCAATGCAATGCAATGCAATGCAATGCAATGCAATGCAATGCAATGCAATGCAATGCAATCCAATCCAATCCAATCCAATCCAATCCAATCCAATCCAATCCAATCCATGGATTTTTGGTGGAGGAAGGGGCCACAACCATGATCCGCTTGTGTCAATGAGGATCACAGTATATAATGGGCGATTTTGCTTTGGAGAACATCAACATCAAGAACATGAACATCAAGAGCTGAAGAAGCTTCTTGGATGAGAAGCGAAATTTTTTCAAGGACAAAAAACCCAAGGAAGTCCAGTTGTCTTTTGGGAAAAAGCATCTTTGGCTCAACAGCAAGAGGTTGCTTTGGTTCATCAAAGTTGGCCTTTTCATTGTCTCTCTTCATTTCTTGTCACTTAAAGTAAAATCTGTAGAAAATTGCGTATGTTGTCTATGGAAATTGGGCAAGGATTTGTCTGATTAACCCCAACTAGGCTTTGTCCACTCTTCGGTATATTGAGTTTCCTCTTAAAGGTTTCTTCAGTGAGTATTTTTCCAGCATAAAGTTATTTTCTTAAACAAACAAACTCTACACTGTTTGCATATAACTTCTTTTCAGGCACTTCTATTGCAGCAGATGTTTGAAAGAGATTAATGCTGGGCAGGAACTCTGGAAAAAAAATGTAGAATTCCCCAAGCACACAGAGAGAGAATCTCTATTTTCAACACAATACTTTCATATATAAAACATATATATATATATATATATATATATATATCGGTCGGTCGGTCGGTCTGTCGGTCTGTCTGTCTATCATCTATCTATCTATCTATCTATCATCTACTTTTTTGGTATAGGGTTTCTTGTCTGAGCAGGGAGTTGGACTAGTAGATTTCCAAGGTCCTGCCAACTCTGTTATTCCATTCCATTCCTTTCCTTTCCGTTTTGTTCCATTCCATTCCATTCCATCCATTCCATTCCATTCCATTCCATTCCATTCCATTCCATTCCATTCCATTCCATTCTATTCTATTCTATTCTATTCTATTCTATTCTTATTTTATTCTATTCTTCTATATCTCTTTCTATCTTTATCTATCTATGCATTTATCTATCCTCTCTCTATTGATTTATATCTGTCTGTCTGTCTGTCTGACTGTCTGTCTATCTGTCTGTCGGTCCATCTGTCCATCCATCCATCCATTTGTATCTATCTTTATCTCTGTATGCATCTATCTATCTATCTATCTATCTATCTATCTATCTATCTATCTATCCATTTATGTATCTATATCTGTCTGTCTGTATCTCCATTTATCATCTCTCTCTCTCTCCCTCCCCTCGCTCTCATCTATTATAATAACATATAATATATATATAACACTCCTTGTGGTACATGTTTGAGTGCCTTAACCCATATGTTAACATTATTATGTCTTGAGAATGTCAATGTTATGTTATTATTATTGTTATTATATCTCTTAACGTCAGTAGAGATATACACTCTGGAGCTTGAGTAAAAACCACACTTCTGACCATTTCCATCTTTTATTAATTAAAATAGTATAAAGTAACCGACGATGTCAAGTAACACGTCTAGAATTTTTGGGTGCCAGGCAGCCCTACTGAATGTCTGCTTTTTACCAGAAGACTGCCAATCACTATAAATTAAATTTGCATCGATAACGCAGAACCTTATTATCCTTTGAATGTGTTTTAAATTATCGCCGTTCCCCCATCGAAAGGCAAGGCGAAGAGCTAAATGATTCTCCTTTAAACCTTTGGAGAAAGTGTTTTTAACTCTCTTGCCTTGACCATGATTTTTAAGATACCCAGTGATGGCATGCCCCTTTGCAAATAAATAAAAACCCATGTTTTAGCTTGAGTGCATCAAGGTAACTTTTTCCCCCCTTCTGTATTCCCAACTTACTTTTTTTTTTTTTTTGTACCCAGAAACATAATCCAGAGTGAAGTTGTTTCTTCAGCCTTTCAATATCAATTAATTTTTAACTTTTTAAAGAAGGCATTTCCAGTCTTAAGTATGTCCTCCGAGCAGAGGCTGGATTGGAAAAGCAGCTGTGCAGGAACTGATAAATCCTAAACACTGGGGAGTTTAAGCAGCCCAGAGGCAAAACATTAAACCAGGTTTTACACAGTGGGGCAGTTTTGTTCTCAATCAGCAGGAATCTCCATTGGCATAATGTCCATTTTAATGTCCTGAGCAGAGCTAAGCTTGAGGTTCTTCTGGGAAGCTCTGCCTATCCATCCTGCAAAGTTCATTAGGAAGAGCGATTTTAAAATAATTTTCAATTCCTGATTCTTTTTTTTTTTTTCCCCTTTCTTTTTCCCTTCCAAAGCATAAAAGTGGATCTGGGAATGGAGAGACCTTTTCGCCTCTCAAGCTGTTAATATATTAGCAAATGAAGAAGTCAACGCACGTCAGGACGTTTGCGAGGAGTACCCAGTGGAACCATGGGCACAGGTGAATGTCTGTTTGGTAGTTATGATTGCACGTTGGTTTATTTATTTAAAAAAAGAATTGCATTCGTCCCAAAGGTGCTTTTTTCAAAAGGCAAGCAGGGCTTTGTTTTTCCTTGAAGACGTTTCGCTTCTCATCCCGGAAGCTTCTTCAGGTCTGACTTTAACAATGGAGGATGCAAGGATTTATATTCTTTGCAGTCATCTGGTCATTAGCGCTCTCTCTGAGAGTCATTGAGGCCACTCGGATAGATAAACAGATAAATCTCCCAAGTGTCCTCAACAACTCTCAGAAAGAGCACTAACGACCAGATGACTGCAAGGAATATAAATCCTTCCATCCTCCATCTTTCAGTCAGAACTGAAGAAGCTTCTTGGATGAGAAGCAAAACCTCTTCAAGAAAAAACAAAGTCCAGTTGCATTTTGAAAAGGCACCTTTGGGACAGCTATGACCTGGATGATTAAGAATAAAATTTGGGGTGCCTTGCATACCACAATTGCCTTAGATGACTTGGAGGTCAGGATGGGAGGTTAATATTTTCTGGGTTTTTCCCAGAACGTAGGATACGCCTGGCTGATTTGATATCCTTTCCGTCCAATTTTCTAAGTCCTGCCTAGCTCAAATTCATCCTTTTACCCCTGAGGAATATTTGTGTGGTGCTACTCCAGCAAAACCGATATTGAGTTGTACAGAAGCCGAAAAGAAAACTAGATTTTGGCACAGGCGTGAAATCTGCCGAAGGGGCTTCAACAGAGGTGAAGTTTTCAAGTGCCCCCCGATTCCTTGCCGTGCTAAACTCATTATTCTCGCAAAACCTATCAGTGTCCTTGGGAATTTGTTTCCATAGGAACCTTTGCCCTTTATTGGGTTAAGTCTCAACAGACATTGTATATATTGGATTTTTTGCTTTGTGGCTGCCACGGCGTACTTTTTCCCCGCAGATGATGGGAACGAAAACGAAGAGGGGGGCAGGGGTGGGGGAGATACTATCTGAGATAATGGCACTGCAAGAATGGAAGCGATTTTTCTAGTTTTGCCCATTGACCCAACTGGCAATCCTCTTGATCAGAATATACTTCTCTCCCATCAGCAGCTGATGGCTTGGGGAACATAGCTATAGACACAACGCAATTTAACATGTCAGTCACTGATCCGTCAGCCTGGGCTACCGCAATGAATAACCTAGGAATGGTACCTGTGGGATTAACTGGACAACAGATCGTGACAGGTAAGGGTTTCGCGGAGATTTGTTGCACAGGTTTATGGATTTTTTGGGGAAGAGCCCTCAGATAAATGTCGAATGTCTGCTTTCCAAAGTTATGTGCTGGGTGTGAGTCTTTAGTCTACATTCAGGGAAGGGTTTTTTCCCCCCACTCCTCCTAAAGGCAAAGATTTCCTTTTATTCAAACCATGCACTCTATTTTATGAATGTTGCGCCACACATTAATCTCTTGGCATTAACGGGCATCTAATCTATAGAGTGCGTTTCCCAGGTTGGTGAAAATAGAAAAAAATTCTCTTAAAGAAATTCAAGGTGTTTTTTTTTTTTTTAAAGCCATTAAATGATTTCTAAAACATATGCTGGGCTGAATCTGAAAGGAAAGTATCCCAAGAAATATTTACTTTTTTTTTTTAATTTAAAAAAAGCTTTTTTTTTTTTTTTTTAAACCAAAGCATTTGTTAACGTTCTGCCAAAGAGCAGCATAGGAAATTAGCTAAAACCTCTGACTGTAACACAGGGGGGAAAAGAGGTTGTTAGGCTAACGGAAAGAAACACAGTTAAAAATAGACTCTTGAAATAAAAGGAGTCTAAAATAGCTCATTTTGCAACGTTATCAGGTCACTGGACTTAAGAAATCTGATCCCTTCGGTTTTCCCCTGCGATCTCCACTCGAGATTTAAATGCTAGGATTTAATTTGCATTCTGCCAGAATTTGCTACTGGAGGGTTTTAAAGATGAAATTAGATGGCCATTTGAAATGGCATAGAAGCTGCAGAAGAAGCTTCTTTTATTTATTTATATTTATTTATTATTTTATTTGTTCAACTTTTATGCCACCTTTCTCCGGAGACTCAAGGCGGCTTACAATGCATTTAAAAACCATCTATAAAAACATTAAAAATTAAACCATTAAAAACAATTAAAACCCATTCACACCATTCATGGCCAGATCTTGCCGGATCGCAAGAGTGAGATCAACGGCCCCTAGGCCTGCTGGAAAAGCCAGGTCTTCACTGCTTTTCGGAAGGCCAATAGGGTGGGGATGGTCTGGACCTCAGGAGGTAACTGATTCCAGAGAACTGGGGCAGCCACAGAGAAGGCTCTCCCTCGTGGGCCCGCCAGCCGGCATTGTTTAGCTGACGGGACCCGGAGGAGACCAACTCTGTGGGATCTTACCGGTCGCTGGGAGCTATGCGGTAGAAGGCGGTCTCAAAGATAACCTGGCCCTGAGCCATGTAGGGCTTTAAAGGTAATAACCAACACCTTGAATTGTGACCGGAGACTGAAAGGAAGCCAGTGCAGCTTCTTGGATGAGAAGCAAAACGTCTTCAAAGGGGAAAAACCAGAAAGTCCGGCTGCCTCTTGAAAAAGCATCTTTGAGACAACCGTGAGCTGAATGGCTGACCATCTCCATAAAAATAGCATAAGGAGGTTGGACTAGAAGACTTCCAAGGTTCTGACCAGTTCTGGAGAACCGGTAGTGGAAATTTTGAGTAGTTCGGAGAACCGGTAGTAAAAATTCTGACTGGACCCATCCCCATCTATTCTCTGCCTCCCAAGTCCCAGCTGATTGGGAGGAAATGGGGATTTTGCAGTAATCTTCCCCTGGACTGGGATGGGAATGGAGATTTTACCGTATCCTTCCCCTGCCAGGCCCACCAAGCCACGCCCACCAAGCCACGCCCACCAAGCCATGCCCACCAAGCCACACCCACAGAACAGGTAGTAAAAAGTTTTGAAACCCACCACTGGCATACAAGAGTGGTGGGTTACTCCCAGTTCTATAGAACCGGTAGTAAAACTGGCGGGAGGCTCCACCCACCTGGCACAATGTCATCATTGGTGATCTGTGCATGCATGATCCCGTTGTGAACCGTAGTAAAGGTAAGTGGAACCCACCCCTGACGCACGCGCCTTGCGCACATGCGCGCTGCGTCAAAAACATGGCGATTGTATAGGACGGGATAGCACCGGGACAGGTGGGCGGGCCCAGCAGCTGGCCGTAACTGGGTTCAAACCGATTCACCCGAATCGGTTTGAACCGGCTGAATCCTACCTCTGTATGTATGTATGTATCAGGGGTGAAAATCCAGCAGGTTCTAACAGGTTCTGTAGAACCGGTAGCGGAAATTGTGAGCAGTTCGGAGAGCCGGCAAATACCACCTCTGGCTGGCCCCAGGAGTGGGGAGGGAATGGAGATTTTGCAATATCCTTCCCCTGCCACGCCCATCAAGCCACACCCACCGAACTGGTAGGGAAAAAAATTGGATTTCACCCCTGGTATGTATGTATTTTATTTATTTTTTATTTATTTTAATTTGATTTATATGCCGCCCTTCTCCGGAGACTCAGGGCGGCTTACAGTGTGTTAAGCAATAGCCTTCATCCTTTTGTATATTTATACAAAGTCAGCTAATTGCCCCCACAATCTGGGTCCTCAATTTACCTACCTTAGAAAGGATGGAAGGCTGAGTCAACCTTGAGCCTGGCGAGATTCGAACATGTATGTATGTATGTGACACATACTATGTGTGTGTGTATATATATATATATCTCGATTCGACAGGAGATACAGTGTTTATCAAGCATAGAGTTTGCATCTACTTTGTACTGATGGGTTTTGAGGGTTTTGCCTTTTTGCTCATAATTAAGAGGTTTGAGCAAGTAGTGAAAGCAGGTAGACCTTTCCCCATCTTTAAGCAATGGGTGGAAACTAATCAAGGAGAGAAGCAACCTAGAACTAAAGAGAAATTTCCTGATAGAACTATTAATCTGTGGAACTACTTGCCTGCGGAAGTTGTGAATGCTCCAACACTGGAAGTTTTTAAGAAGATGTTGGATAACCATTTGTCTGAAGGGGTGTAGGGTTTCCTGCCTAAGCAGGAGGTTGGACTAGAAGACCTCCAAGGTCCCTTCCAACTCTCTTATGCTATTCTAAAGCTATTGATCATTCAACTAGGAAAGAGCTGGTTTATATTTTGGGATAAAGTCGGGATACGGCTGGTTTTCCATGTTAGAAGCATCTTGGGCTTGAAGAAAGCCGAATGAAACATGATTGGACTACGCAGACAATAATCTGATGTAACACAATACAGGTAGTCCTGGATTTACAGCAATTCATTTACTGACTGTTCAAAGTTACAACAGCAGTGAAAAAAGGGACTTAAGACCAGTTTTCACACTTATGACCGTTGTTGCATCCCAGGATGGTCAAATTCAAGAGGCTCAGCAATTGACTCGTATTCATGACGATCGCAGTGTCCCGTGTGTGTGTGTGTATGTCACGTGATCCCCTTTTGCGTCCTTCTGACGAGCGAAATCCATGGGGGAAGCCAGATTCACTTAACGGCCATCTGACTAACTTAACAATGCAGCGATTCACTTAACAACCGCAGAGAGGAAAGTCGTAACATGGGACGAAACTCACTAAAACAAGCGTTTCGCTTAGCAACTTAGAAATGTTGGGCTCCCTTGTGGCCGTAAGCCAAGGACTACCTGTAGTCCAGGATGCTACGCTTAAGGACCGAAGGCTTAAACGTGAGAAGAAGAAAAAAAAACTTGAATGTACAATCCGTAAATCTGTCCAGGCGGAAATGGGAAGCGGGTTCCTTATTCCTCAGCCATTCTTATATAAATTAATCCCTATAATTCACTGGTCCTTCTTGATAGGGTTCTAATTATCTAATTGCCCTGCCATATCCCCAAAGATTTATTGATCCCCGATGATGTCACCCTCTTTCACTTGTGATGGTCCCGATGTTTCCTACGGCTTCCATCCATCTTTTTCTCATCACAGAGAATCCATTAAGGAGAGAGAAAATAGCTGGCAGCACAATTGTCCTGCTCCTTTTGATTGTAGGAGCTCGTCGCCTATTACAACACAACGACAACAGAGAGCAGGCGTGTGTATGCGTGGGGGGGGGTTTTTACCGCAAACATAAAGACCTACGGAGTTGGGCAAAGAATAAACACAATGACAAACGGTTTGTGTAGTTTGATCGTTTCCTTTTGGCAACGGAACAGGGGACCAAGCGGTGTGTCTTTTGTCAAAGCGGGGGAATCGGAGTAAGGAATGGTTGTAGGATGATCAAGGTTGGATTGCATGCAATACCTGGTGATGCACGAATTGAAGATAAGCAGCAAGAAAAAATCACAAAGTACCGGGACTTACAAATTGAAGTTGAGTGACTGTGGAAAAAGAAATCGTGTGTTGTCCTGATTGTAATTGGAGCCCTCGGAGCAATACCCAAAGGGCTACCCCGCTATTTAGAAATTCTAAATTTGCCGGACTTGAACATTTTGACTCTACAAAAAACCACCTTACTCGGAACAGCTTACATCCTCCGGCGATACCTTAACAGTTCCTAGGTCCTTGGTTAGGACTCGAGCTGCTGAGCTATTAACCAGCCTCAAAGGCTGTGAATCTCACTAAAGATTAAATAATAATAATAATAATAATAATAATAATAATAATAATAATAATAAATTATTATTATTATTATTCTGCTGTAAGTCAAGGACTTACAACGGTTCGTTTCAAACTTACAACGGCACTGAAAAGGGGACTTGGGAACATTTTTCACAGTTACGACCATGGCCGCATCTCCCCGGTCATGTGATCAAAATTTAGGTGCTTGGCAACTGACTCATATTTACGATGGTTGCAGTGTGCCGTGATCCCCTTTTGTGACTTGACAAACACCTACAATTTCTGACCAGAAGTTGTGAGCGCTTCATCACTGTAGATTTTTAAGAAGAGATTGGACAACCATTTGTCTGAAATGGTATAGAGCAGTGATAGCTAACCTTTTTGCCAAAAGAGGAGGGAGCACGGGGGGTCATGCGCGCACATGCCCACACCCATAATTCAATGCGTCCCACATCCCCACGCATTTGCATGCGACCCCCCCCGCGCGCTTTCCCCACTTTTGGCACGGTGGGCCCAGTAAGCCCGTTTTTCACTCTCCTCAGGCTCCAGAGCCTTTCTAGGAGTCTGGGGAGGGGAAAACGGCCTTCCCCACCCTCCCCCGAGGCCCCCCGGAGGCCGGAAACAGCCTGTTTCCCGAGTTCTGGTGAGCCTGGAAGGCCCGAAAATCAGTTGGCCGACGTGCACATGCATGCCGGAGCTAAGCTAGGGCAACACATGTGTGCCCACCGATATGGCGCCGCGTGCACAGGTTCGCCATCACGGGTATAGAATGTCCTGCTTGAGCAGGGGGTTGGACTAGAAGACCTCCAAGGTCCCTTCCAACTCTGTTTATTCTACTAAGCAAAGTCAACGAGGAAGCCAGATTCACTTAGCATCCATGTGAGTAACTTAATAATTGCAGTGATTCACTTAACAATGGTGTCAAGAAGGTTGTAAAATGGGGCAAAACTCATTTAATAAAGGTCTCGCTTAGCAACAGAAATGTTGGGCTCAATGGTCATAAGTCGAGGACTACCTAGCCTCATTCATTCACGCAGGAGAGGTAACACCTCTCCTGCGTGAGCTGCACTGGCTCCCGGTGGTCCTCTGGGTGCAATTCAAGGTGTTGGTGACCACCTTTAGAGTGCTCCATGGCTTAGGGCCTGGATATTTACGGGACCGCTTTCTGCCACTGAGAGCCTCCCACCGGCCAGTACGCTCCCACAGAGAGGGGCTCCTCCAGGTGCCATCGGCCAAACAATGCCGACTGGCGGCCCCCAGGGGGAGAGCTTTCTCTGTGGGAGCACCTGCCCTCTGGAACAAGCTCCCCCCAGAGATACGGACGATTCCGGACTTACGTACTTTCCATCGGGCCCTCAAAACCTTTTTATTTCATCAAGTCGGGCTGGCCTAATCTTTCCACTTGTGTATTTTAATTTGGATTTTAATGGGGGATTTTAACTGTCGGGCCAAAATGTTTAATTTATTTTTAAATTGTTTTTAAATTTTGTATTTGATGTTTTTTTACTTCTGGCTGTTCACCGCCCTGAGTCCTTCGGGAGAAGGGCGGTATATAAATTTAAATATTAAATTAAATTAAATTCTTAATAAGGAAACACTTTGCACTGAAAAATGAGGTAGCTGTGCATCCCTCAGTGCACAATGACATCTGAGCGACGTTTTCAACACAGTTGTGGGAGCCTTAACAGGGCTGCTTTAATCGTCTGAATAGAAATACTTCAAATATCCTTTGGAGCATTGCAGAGCAGCTAAGAGTCTTAAACTATAAATGTTTCTATCAGCTCTGACGGGCTGGGAACAAGGAACATAAATCATGGATTCATACTTCGTGGAAGGCAGAAATAAAATAAATTGTTTGCACCCAACCTCCATCTGTGTCTTTACTAGCCATAGACGTGGTCTGATTATAGACAGATTTAAAAAATCCTGTTTGCTCAGATGAGGGGTGCTGCAAAACCACCATGCCACCTTGCTGCTTAAAAGACCCGAACCTCAAAAGGAAGAGGTGTGACGAACCTCGAGTTGTTGCAGATGGAAAATTGGGTTATCCGATGGCTCCACAAAGTCATAGAACATAGAAAAACAGAGTTGGAAGGGACCTTGGAGGTCTTCTAGTCCAACCTTTCGGGTCAAGCAGGAGATCCTATACCATTTCAGACAAGCGGCTGTCCTGTCTCTTCTTAAAAGCCTCCAGCGATGGAGCATCCACAACCTCTGGTGGCAAGCTGTTCCACTGGTTAATTGTCTTCACTGTGGGGCAGTTTCTCCTTAATTCCAGGTTGCTTCTCTCCTTGGTTAGTTTCCATCCATTGTTTCTTGTCCTGCCTTCAGGTGCTTTGGAGAATAATTTGACCTCCTCATCTTTGTAGGAATCCCTCAAATATTGGAACACTGCTATTATGTCTCCCCTAGTCCTTCTTTTTACTAGACTAGTCAAAGAACTGGAAAAAAAAATATTCTGCATTTTCAGAACAACGTGACTTCATTGGAAAGGTCATAATGCAACACAATGCCCTTATTTAATGAACATTTTTAAAATAGCCTTTGAAAAACACAACCTACCTGCGTACATGAGATTGCTACCTGAGGTTGCGTCTTGGTGTTAAGGGTATGTGTGACCCATTCTCAGCTCTGTTTTTAACTTGACTTGCCCTTGAAATCCACCACGCTGTTTTCAGGGAAGCTGAAATGATAATATTACAGCTTAGCTACGTGCGAAAACGAGAAAGATCACACAGCCGTCCAAATTACCCGAAAATGTTCAAATTACCTTCCCGTGTATTATCACAACAACAAATCCCTTGGCTGTTTAAGGTAGACCAATATTATTTGCTTAGAGGTAATGAAGGGCACATGACATGAACTTTGTAACTTGCTAACTAACATAACATAAGAGCCTTGGTGGTGCAGCGGACTAAAGTGCTGTTAAGTAGCACTTAGCTGCCAGCTGCTTGCAATTACTGCAAGTTCAAACCTCACCAGGCTCAAGGTTGACTCAGCCTTCCATCCTTCCGAGGGAGGTAAAATGAGGACCTGGATTGTGGGGGCAATAAGCTGACTTTGTATAAAAAAGAACACCGCTTGGGGGGGGGGGGGCGAAAGCCCTACTAAGCAGGTATATACAAAAAGTATGAAGGCTATTGCTTAACGCATTGTAAGCCGCCCTGAGTCTCCGGAGAAGGGCGGCATATAAATCGAACCAATAAATAAATAAATAAATAAATAAATAAATAAATAAATAAATAAATAAATAAATAAATAACATAGTTACTCTGTATTTTAATTTGATTTATTTTCTCTTTGAAAAAAAACAACGATGTTGAAGTTTATTAGCTTTTAACGTTCCGAAACTGATAAACAGATGGGAGTCCATATAAGAAAAAAGATTATTAGTACAAATTGGGGTCTGGTTTTCTCTTTTGTGAACTCCAAACAACCTTTTTCCATAACAATTTACACCCTTTCTGACGTCAGAGCAGGGGTGAAATCCAGCAGGTTCTGACAGGTTCTGGAGAACCAGTAGCGGAAATTTTGAATAGTTCAGAGAACCAGCAAATACCACCTCTGGCTGGTCCCAGAGTGGGTGGGAATGGGGATTTTGCAGTATCCTTCCCCCAGGAGTGGGGAGGGAATGGGGATTTTGCATATCCTTCCCCCAGGAGTGGGGAGGGAATGGGGATTTTGCAATATCCATCCCCCAGGAGTAGGGAGGGAATGGGGATTTTGCAGTATCCTTCCCTGGAGTGGGGTGGGAATGGAGATTTTGCAGTATCCTTCCCCTGCCACACCCACCAAGCCACGCCCACAGAACCGGTAATAAAAAAAAATTGAATTTCACCACTTTGTCAGACCTCACTTTAATGCACATGGATGATATTATGGGATGCAAATATGTAAGCTGTAATATGTAATATGACTACATGCAACTGATTTCCTATGCAAAGGGGAGATTACTTTTATCCGGTCCAATCAACTTTCTTCTTTCATTTTTCTTTGTTGCATTAACTATAGAAAGGAATGTATGATGGGTTTCGGGGTTCTCTCTTTTCATAGGGAGATCCTGCTTTCTCAGGGTTAACCTAATGAACTGCTTTTGAATGATCTTCTGACTCAGTTGCTTATTGGGAAGGTAAACTGAGGCAGAACCTAGGGTCAGATTTGGCTATCAGTGGTCCTTGATTTATGACTTATTGTTTAGTGATTGGTTCAAGTTACCATGGACTTCCCCAGGGCTACGGACGAACCAATTTCGAAGTTCATGTGATCCGATTTTGTGTACGTGACACCTGGCCTGCATTTACGACCATTTGCAGCATTCTGTGGGCATGTGACCATGATTTTTGACTTTTCTTTTAACCCCAAAAAACTTTTATTTATTTTTTTAAATCAAAATCCAGCTTGCACTTCTGGCAAAAAAGCACTCAGCGGGTGCAATGGGTTCATTTAATGACCACAGTGATGATCTAATGACTGCAGAGCTTGCTTAACGACCACTGCAAATAAAATAATAAAATCTGTTATGATCATACGGTGACCTGCTTAATGACTGCCATAACTTACAACCCTAATTGCAGAATCAGTTACAGTCACAAATTAAAATGCCATCTGTATTTTTCTCCGCGTTAAAGTTGAGATAATTGTAACAGATTATGTAACTGAGAGGGGCGCGGTGGCTCAGTGGCTAAGACGCTGAGCTTGTCAATGGAAAGGTCGGAAGTTCAGCAGTTCGAATCCCTAGTGCTGCATAATTGGGTGAGCTCCCAATTACCTGTCCCAGCTTCTGCCAACCTAGCAGTTCGAAAGCACGTAAAAAGAAATGCAAGTAGAAAAATAGGAATCACCTTTTATGGGAAAATAACAGTGTTCCATGCGCCTTTGGGGTTGAGTCATGCCGGCCACATGACCACGGAGACATCTTCGGACAGCGTTGGCTCTTCGGCTTTGAAACGGAGATGAGCACCGCCCCCTAAAGTCGGGAACGACTAGCACGTATGTGCAAGGGGAACCTTTATCTTATGTAACTGAGAATTTCTTGAGTTCATTTAATGGCTGAAAACGGATATACTGATGCTACTTTTATTGAGTTGCAAAACTTTGGCGCAGTTTCTTTTGCAATTGTTTGGACTGCTTTATAACACACAAGGATTATTTCTGGAGAAAAAGAATTCGTTTTTGAAAAAGGTTTTGTCTTTCGGGTTGGTTTATTTTTCTGTTAACGCTCTCGGGATGCCATTTGTATGATCTTGATAGTTAATCAATGTTCAGCAGGATTAGCCTTTTTAATACAGTTTAGGTATTTCTGCTGTGTAATTTTTTTTATGCCTAGTGCTATAAAATTGGATTTTTGATCTGAGCAAAGGTCAGGGTTTTAATTCCTAGTAGTGATAACTACTCAGTGGGGTTTCCTTTTCTCGCCGGTGTTTATATACAAAGAATAGGTGTAAATTGTAACTGAAAATTGTGTTTTCTTAAAATCAATTTAGAGAACGGGGATGATTACATTATTGGTTACATTTGTAAAGTTTGGGGGCTTATATTCAGATCGACTTTAGTTATATCAGGATTTAGAGAAATACAAAGGCAGTGAATTCGGACACAAACATTAGTTTTAAGACACTGAATAATCCAAATAAATGGGGACTACAAGATTGTAAAAAGAAAAAGAAATCCAAATATTTAATAAAACTATTAAAACTAAACTAAAACTATTAAAATCTACCGTACAGCAAAATATGGATAGTGAGAATTGTGTAAAAAAAAAAAAAATTGCATGCACGGCACACACAAACATGAAATGTGCAATTTAATGCAGGTCTGAATTGAACAAATAAAATTATTAGTAATAATACTAATAACTTTCTGCGGGCAGGTTTCTATCTTTCCATGAAACAAGACTCCTTTAAAGTGTGATGTTAGCTATTTAGGTCTTAAAGAGCAGGGAGATAGAGAATTCCCTGTCCTAAGAAGGTCCATCTGGTGAGACCAAGAAAAAAGACCTTCTCCGATGTGGCTCCTTCCCTGTCCTAAGAAGGTCCATCTGGTGGGATCAAGAACAAGGGCCTTCTTTGTGGTGGCTCCTTCCCTGTCCTAAGAAGGTCTATCTGGTGGGACCAAGAAGAAGGACCTTCTCCATGGTGGCTCCTTCCCTGTCCTAAGAAGGTCTATCTGGTGGGACCAAGAAGAAGGACCTTCTCCATGGTGGCTCCTTCCCTGTCCTAAGAAGGTCCATCTGGTGGGACCAAGTAGAAGGACCTTCTCCATGGTTGCTCCTTCCCTGTCCTAAGAAGATCCATCTGGTGGGACCAAGAAGAAGGACCTTCTCCATGGTTGCTCCTTCCCTGTCCTAAGAAGGTCCATCTGGTGGGACCAAGAAGAAGGACCTTCTCCATGGTTGCTCCTTCCCTGTCCTAAGAAGGTCCATCTGGTGGGACCAAGAAGAAGGACCTTCTCCATGGTTGCTCCTTCCCTGTCCTAAGAAGGTCCATCTGGTGGGACCAAGAAGAAGGACCTTCTCCATGGTTGCTCCTTCCCTATCCTAAGAAGGTCTATCTGGTGGGACCAAGAAGAAGGACCTTCTCCATGGTGGCTCCTTCCCTGTCCTAAGAAGGTCTATCTGGTGGGACCAAGAAGAAGGACCTTCTCCATGGTGGCTCCTTCCCTGTCCTAAGAAGGTCCATCTGGTGGGACCAAGAAGAAGGACCGTCTCCATGGTGGCTCCTTCCCTGTGGAACATCATCCCTGAGGAGATCACAGTGGCCCCAACTTTGACACTTTTTTCTCAAGGCCCTGAAGATCTGGTTTTGCCAGCGAGCCTGAGGAACCCACTGTGGGATGGAGCCCATCAAACGGCTTGTCCCAAAGGTGCTCTTCAACAGGCAACTGGACTTTCCTGGTTCTTTCCTTGAAAACGTTTCGCTTCTCATTTGAGAAGCTTCTTCAGTTCTGACTCCAGAAGCTGAAGATGCTTCAGAACTGAAGAAGCTTCTTGGATGAAAAGTGAAACATTTTCAAGGAGAAAAAAAATCAAGAAAAGTCTAAGTTACCTTTGGGTCAACCATGACCTGATTGACTGAGAATCTCCTTAGACATGAAGTGGCTTGTCTGATTAGCTTTTGTCCCAAAGGGTTATTGCAGGTTCTGACAGGTTCTGGAGAACCGGTAGCAAAAATTTTGAGTAGTTGAGCCAAGGTAATGCAATGGTTAGAGTGCAGTACTGCAGCTACTTCAGCTGACTGCTAGTTCAGCAGATGAGCAGATCAAATCTCACCGGCTCAAGGTTGACTCAGCCTTCCATCCTTCCGAGGTGGGTAAAATGAGGACCCTGATTGTTGGGGGCAATATGCTATTTAGTATACTGTCTTTGGTGTAAGCCGCCAAGAGTCCTCGGAGAGTGGGCGGCATAGAAAATATGAATAATAATAATAATAATAATAATAATAATAATAATAATAATAATACTGATGGGCACTTGGTCCACAACACACCTGACATAACAATAGTTGAAAAGAAAAAAGTATGGTTCATTGACATTGCAATACCTGGTGATGCACGGATTGAAGATAAGCAGCAAGAAAATATCACAAAGTACCGGGACTTGCAAATTGAAGTTGAGCGACTGTGGAAAAAGAAATTGTGTGTTGTCCCGATTGTAATTGGAGCCCTTGGAGCAATACACAAAGGGCTACTCCGCTATTTAGAAATTCTAAATTTGCCGGACTTGAACATTTT